TATCATAAAAATGTTATATCTAATAAACATTTGATAACTATAAAATTAGAACTTTTAGAAAATATTAATAATGTAATAATTTTAAATATTGATAATTATTATAGCATCTATATTAAAGATATTAGTTGTAACTAGTGATAAATAAGTATCACATAATTGTAACTAGTTGCAACATTAATAAAAATTGAGTTATAACTAGTTGCATTCAATGACAAATAAGCATTACATAATTATAACTAGTTATAGCATCATCTTTAATTTATACTAAATAATGCCTAATACAGTTATAATATCAACTGCAATATATCTTGCTACTATTTTACTTAATCTAATAGAATAAACTGGTAATACCAAATTAAGATTTTTATAATCCTATATTAATTGATGCTTTATTAATCAAAATTGGCATTAATAACTATTTTATATTCTTATATTCATTCTCTCATAACTAGAATTAGGTATTCTATTTTATAGATAATAATATAAAACTTGAGAAACTAATAGTTCATATTTATAATACTCATTTAAAAGAAAAAAGAAGTATTTGATCAATAAAAGATATAATGCTTGTAAATCTTTTTAGAAAATAATCTTCATTTAGTATAATTTTATATTAATATTACTAATACAGTCACTTCTATTCTTATAATTAATAGGTATATTAAAGCAGATAATATTATTCTGATTGTAGCTGATTAGCCTGATCAAATTTATTTAAGAACTGCTATATTCTGATATTTTATTCATGACAGTTCTTCTAAAATTATAGAAGAAATTTTATTTTACCTTCTTATGATAAAATTTTTATATATTTTCTTAAATAGTTATGAGTTAGTCTTTCTCAAATACTAAACCATTCTTTTTCACAATATACAAATATATTTTTAGTGAATGAAAACTGCTTATTTAGAAATAAAAACTATAGTATATAAACTTATTATTAGAACTTTCATATAATATATAATAGAAAATTGCGCTAATAGTTAAAGCTAAAATTAATTATATATGTAAAAATACAGAATATATATTTAAAGATCTATTAGATAGTATAATTTTATTAATCCTTAATATTTATATTTTATTTTTTCATACTGATAATTTTAACTCTTATATTAAATCATATTTTTAGATTTAAACTATTTTCTTAAATTTAATTACAAAATCTATACTAAAGCACCTTTAATATTTTTTTAGATATTTTTCACTATTAATTGAAAGATTATTCAATTTTAAAATTAATGAAAGTAGAATTATTAAAATTTTCTGATTCTTTGTTAAAATCTTTTACAGTCTTTTGTGATGTAAAAATAGAAAAATATTTTATAGCAAATTAAATAATAAAAGAATTATGATACATTAATTATTTGTGATTAAATAATAATAGATTCAAAAAAAAAATTATTTACACCTCATTTTGAATAATATACTAGTATTTTTCATAAAATATTATAATTTAACATAAAAAATGACATATTTTTTTTTAGATTATTTTTCAGATATTTATATTTATACTAATTATGAAAAGATGTAATTTTTAATTCTATTAATAGGTTACTATAAAAAGCTTATCATAAAGAGAAAAACTAATGCTAAATCAGTTTTTTTATCTTAGTAATGAAAATGAAAGATATACAACTTTGTTATTTATCTTTATAATATAATTCTTTTAATAAGCCTAATTTGTTTAGTTACAATTCTTCTAATTATCTTATTACTAATATTATAATTAATGAAAAAACAAGTTAAATACTATTATGTAAGCATACATATTATAATATATATTTTAGTCTAATAAATATAAATGCTTGTATTATTTAGATTATATAAAATCTGATATTAATAAACATATGTAATCACTTTTAGATTATTTACACTAACCTAATTTAATTAATAAAATTAAGAATAAAAAATCTGACTTTATACCTAAATAAGATCATAATAATAAAGAATCAGTTGATAGTATTTTAGCTTTCTAGAATACTATAATATTATAATTTATTCAATAATAATTAACTAATAATTAAAATAATTATGTAAATAATAGGTTATTTAAATATATTTATTAGATATGATATAAATACAATTTTAATAAATTTTTGAAATAATATAAATGGTATATAATAATAAAAATTATAATTTTATTTTATTTAAATTCTATTTAAATTTATGCTTAATTTTAATTGGTTTAACTAATATTTAAATTTAATTGGTCAATTATTCTTTATTTTAGTAGCCAATCATATGAACTTCTTCTTATATCTGTTAACTGATCACATACACTTACAAAACTTAGTCTTTTTTAGTATATATATATATCTTAATTTCCAAAAAGCATAATAGACATTTAACTTATCTGTGATTTTATTGGTTAAATTTTATAATGATTATTTTTGAAATATCACATCATTATTAATTTTGATTAGTACAAAATTAATTGTTATAAAAATTACCAAAATAGAAAGATTAGTTTTAGACTATTAAAAATATTATTCAGCTATAAATTTTTTATATAAAAATTCTTGAATTAACATTAAATATATCTATATTTTTTTATTATAATAATTATAAAAATCAGAAAAAAGTAGAAAATTAAAGGAACTTGCAACATTAAATTAAAAAGTAAAATTATAAATATACTAGATAAAACCACTATCTAATAATATTTGTGATTAATGTAAATGTTTAGATTAAGAAAAAGATATAATATTTATATATGATCATATTTTTCATCATAAATGTTTTTTAGAACAAAATAATAATTGTAAAAAATTCTATAAAAAGGTGTTATCTTTAATGTAAAATCCTATATATAAAGATTATAAAAAAATGAATAGTTTATTAGATGATGAAATATTAGATAATAAAGAAGCAGTAATAATAGAAAAAATATTAATAAACTTTAAAAATATTTTAAACTTGGTAAATTATAAGTTATTAAATAAAATATATTGTAATATGTATAATTTTAACCTTAAAATTTCAGCTCTCATCTAACTTTCTTAAGAGCAAAGATCTCTAGATCTTTTTTACCCAAATGTAAAAAAAGGAACGAACGATATATCGATGTAAAAAAACTGCATATTGATAGATTAGTTTTTGATCTTTTTTTTATTACTTTAAATCAATTGAAATTGAATATTACACAATATAAAAAAGATTAATATTTGATTTTATCACCATGTGATATAACAAATATCTATTATGCTCAAAAACTTTTAAAGAATTACTTTACAATCTTCTTTAGATGAAATATCGTGTACTAGTACTATTGCTTATACAGTCAGTCTCACACCTTCAATTTTATCAAATATAAGTGCTTTGAGTATAATAGATAAGGCTAATATGTTATATTAACTTTTCCTTTTATGTGTATTAAATAGGTTAAATATAACTACCAACAAGTGTATTAAACTTTGTCAAAGAAAAATAACTGGATAGCTTCTTTTGGTATATATAAGAAAACTTGCCATGTATGTTCTTATATCTGAATATTAAAACATCATATTTAAGTTATTGCGTTAAATGTTAATGCATTGGTTATGATGCAAAAGATTGTAGAAGCAATTCTTGTAAAACTCTATTTAAGCAAAAATATGTTATATCAGATCAACTTTTAAAATCATTAGGAGAGTCGAAGATTGATACATATAATTTTCTTTATAATTCACATTCCTTTCTGGTAATAAGAGTAAAATAAATACTGGAATTGCTGGGTCAGCAAAGTATTTTTTTTACTTTTATTATCCTCTTAAAATAGTTTAATTATATAATCTCTTTTTCTTTCTCATAGCAAAAGCAAAAAAAGATTCAGATTGCTAGGCCAGCAAAATTTTTTTTCGCTTTTGTTATAAATTATCTGACAAATATTCATTTGGGTTGCTGGGCCAGCAAGGGTGAATTTTTTTAAGATAATTTGATTTTCTTAATTAAAAAACATATTAGATAATTTGCTTGCTTATTGGTTTGAACATATGGGCAGATTTGTCTATTCAGAATTAAATAAAATTTTTAAAATAAATCAAACTCAAAATAAATTGATTAGCTGGGATAAAAAATTATATCACAATAAAATGAAAATAAAATGAAAATAAAATGATAAATGATTTGAAAAATTTTACTGTGTCTGTAATTGTATCAATCTCACGTTTGTAAAAACTAAGGATGTTAAAGGGCCCTTAAAAAAATTTTGAAGTTTTAAAATTACTAATTCTAGAAGGGCTCTTCAGGAGAACTTTTTTACATAAAATTATGATATTTTACGCAGTTTTACCACGGCGATTGTGTTTTATTTGATAATTTTAGTTTCGCGTAAAACCCATTTCTTACATTTTACCTTAGTAGGTTTTTTTTTTTAAATATATATCAATAAAAAAGAAAAAATTACAGCTGTTTTCAAAATATACGGGACACAGAGACCCGGGTATCTGATATTAATTCACATGCTTCTGCCGATCCGTATCCTTGTAATTAGAATCCTCTTTTTTTAAAAAAAAAAAAAAAAAAAAAAAAAAAAAAAAAAAAAAAAAATAGGTAAAAATTAATAAACTTACCGTATTAAAATTTGCCTGCAATTTTCAATTTTCTATCATTAAAGGGATAATACAATAGCTGCGCCAGATAAAATTATTTATATAAAACAATGAATTTTAATTTCTGCTAATATTAATGATTATATATATTGTTTTTTTAATTTTGTTTTAATTATTTATGTTTGCTAGGGCTCACTATTTCCAATTTTTTTTTCAAATAAAAAAGGACTAAAGTTTTTCGGTTACATAAGTTAATTAATACAATCAAAGTTAGGTTGATATTGTTATGCAAAAAATATTTGGGGTGTTCATGTAACACAGAAGTTGGGAAATTTAAATTTTAACACAAAACAGAAAAAGGAGACATAAATCACTCACGAAACAAAAGCACGGATATGTAACACAACCGTTCTCCACTTACAGTTTACAAACAAACTAACTTTTGCTGTGGATATCCACTTTTTTTGGAGGATGGATCCAGTCGAAAGTTCAATAATTAAAACTGGTGTTAGTAGTAGCAATAGTGATAATAAGAGGAGTTCTACCCAAAATTCAACTATTAACGAACAGGAGCAACCTTCAGCACGAAGAACGGGAGCCTTTACAAGGAAACGAAGAAGTACTCAAAGTAATGGAGATGGTTCTAGTTCTTCCACAAAACAGACGTTCACTACTGCTATAAATCAGATCTTGCATAGGCGCGCATCGATTTCTTCACAGAGACCAAAAGATTTAATTGCAGAAATAAATACCAGTAAAATAGATAATAATAAAACACGAAATACTTCTCCCCCAAGTCCAATTTCCGTTAATGCGTCGATTCAACAACAAAATCAACCTTTACCTTCTCATTCAACACAGCACCAACCAACTTTACAGCGATTGTTACGAAAGAAAAGTTTTCGTGCTTCCAGACAATTTTCTCCAGTTTCCCCTCTCAAGCCTCCTTTCCATTATCGCCAACAGTTTGAAGAAGATCCTTCGTATATTGACATTAAAAAAAAAAATAATAGCAATCTTGGCGATTTAACTACTAATTCTAATTCTAATTTTAATTCTAATTCTAATAATAATAACGATTATAACAATAATATTAATAGTAATAATAGTAATAATAGCAATAGTAATTTAATTAATAAACGGATCGTATTGAATCATGGAACAACAACCACAAACTCATCTCCAATTTCACCGGTAAACTCTACTGCTTCATCACCTTCTACAAAAAAGCAATTCTTTGAAAATTGTAGTAGAGAACAAAAGTTATTATTTCACCAAACAAAGGACGATAAAATGGAAAAATTATTAAAAAAGGCAAAAATTTTTTTGGATATAAAGCAAAGACCTAAAGCCAGAATTGCATCATTATGGAGTGTTATAGGTAATTAGGTTGAGAGAGAATGGGATATATATCCTAGAACCTCGCTCAAATAATATATGAAATTTGTTTATTTGTTTATTGAAATTTTATTTACTGAAATATTGTTCTTGCTTATTATAAACAAATTTCCCAATATCAATTATTTTGTTAAGATGTTGCGAATGAATTGGATCAGGCACAATTTTTTCAACAAAATTCTGGAGACGTTTTCGATGTAGTTTATAGTTCATTTATGAGTCAAGTGGATAAAATAAAACGTGAGAATTTTATTTTATTTTAAAAATGAATATATAAAATATAAAAAAAAATAATGTATTAAAATTGAATTATAAATAGAGAAACCGGATAGATCCACGCCTTTTACATCAAAAGAATTTTTAAATTTAAATAAGATTTTACTTTTATTACGTAAAATATTTTTATTTTTGCCTGATAAAATAAGGGTTGGATGGCAAAGAAAACAAATAGGTATAAATTATTATTATTATTATTATAATTATTATGAAAAAAAATTTTTTGTTGAAGTTCCTATTTTAGCATTCATGTCTGACTTTTTTTTTAAAATAAATAAGCCGAAATATTGTCAGTTTTACTTGATCATGGAAATCATCCTCGAGTTCGAAAACAAGGATTTCAGCTTTTGTTATTATGGATAAATGATCAAACAATAGAATTAGATGAATGCATGTACTTATATTCAAATGCCATTTCATTGGATTTATTTTTATGTGATCAAATGAAGAATATAGGCGAAGAATCGTGTAACTCAAAGGACAATGTATGGAGGAAAAGTCATATTCCTATTGCTCTAGGACAAGAATTAATACGAGGTAAATATGATGAAGTTCGAGATATATTTTTAGGACCTATATTTTTGTTGATGTAATATCCAATCCATTTTTACCAGGTGATCATCGGGGTCCTTTATTTCCAAATCCACATTCATCGACATTTAATGATGCGGTAAATTTAATTCAAGTAAATGTAGGTAATCTAGTTAGATTAGCTCATGTTGCAGCTGGATCAATACCACCATCAGAGAATTATGAATTTCCTGCAATAGAAAGTATTGAACCTGATAATGGGATTGCTATAGGAATGGGAATTGATGCGGCATTAGCTGCTGCAAAGTTTCATTTTGAATTAATAAAGAAACAATATCTTGTGAAAATTTTTCCTCAATGTGCTAAATGTCTTGGATTATTACCCGAAAATCAAGGTGAAATTAATAAGCTTTGCTTTTTTACTTTTATTATTATTTTTTTTTTTTTTCATTTTTTCAGCTTTACTAATGTTTTTTATATATTTCAATTAAAAGAAGATGGGTTTCAAAAATGTCCACCAGCAATACTTAGAGCTTTAATTACATTTTTTATTCATCATTGTCTTGATAATCATAGAATGTCCGACAATATTTCTTCATATCCTTCACCAGCTACACCTATATTAAAATCTATAGTATTAGGTCCCGAGAATCGTGAATTTGCACATGAAATTGTGAGACAATCTTTGATGTTACCAGCTGGTAGCCCTCTTTATAAAGATATTGTTAGAGGTGCTGTTCATATAGTGGGTGTTTGGATTCTAAGTGGGGTTAGTTTATTTTATCCCGATTTGAGTCAAAATATTCCCAGCCTTCCTTTTTGTTTATCAAACATTTTTTAATCTACAGGAAGAAGAAAGGCCAGCGTACTTACGTAAGTCCCTTCAAAATCTACCCTCACCAATTAGTCAAAATGATGCATCAACAACACCAGCTTCAACACCATTATCAGCTTCATCATTTACAAGTTCATATTCAGATGCAAATGTATATCTTAGAAGGTATATCGAATTATTAAATTTGGTATTTGAGGATCATTCGTTCTTAACGATTGATGGAGGAATGACAAATATTGAAGTGGAAGCACAAGTTTCTATTTATCGAGATGTTTTGTCTTTGTATCGTTCGATTATGACCGAAGGCTCGATTGAATTAGAGTTAGAAACCTGGTATTTATACAATCGTGTAAATTTTATTTACCATTTTGTTCAAAATTTTTAAAGTTCTATTTATTTACCTGTTTTTAGGGGAACAATACTTAGATCACTTTTGAACATTCAGAAAAGGATTATGAATCAAACTGATAAGTATGCTCTGATTCCTTCTGTAGCTTTGGCCGATGATTTAGCTGATTACTTGATCGAAGTAAGTGAAGAATTTCAATTATTACTATGATACAGCACGAGTTTTTTGTTACTTATTTCTCTAGTTTATAGTAAGTTAATTATCATACGCAATGTGATAATCCATTCTCTTACGCAAAGTGCAATTATAAATCCATATCCGTGATTATCCTAATTATCTCACTTTATGTGGAATATTAATTTTATCTTCTATCTTTTGTCATTATTTAGACAATATTATACGCGTTTTCTCGGTCAAAAATTCCAGTTCCAGAATTATGGGGTGAACTGAAAGTTCAAATGAGTTTTAGTACGAGGTGGTCTCAAACTATGACACAATGGGCTGTAAGTTATAATTTAGAAATTAGATCCTTTTCCTTTTTGAATGTTTATTAATTTTATTTTTATAAATTTTTCAGAAAATAATGTTGCGTTTGTCAAAGATTTTATCAAAACATGTACATCAAGTTGACCTTGATCAAGTAGAATTACAGAAACGTCTCTCAGTAATGCCATCATCAGAACGTCATCATCATCGCCGCAAACCTTCCAAAAATCGTACAAAACATCTTTCTTTAAAACATAAATCTTCAGGTAGCACTTCTTCACGTGAAGATTTTGATTTCTCACCATCAGGACTACCTAAAAATGAAAGCGGTAAATTTGGAAGACGAACTTTGAGTATGCATTCAGATACGAATCCATTAGATACTAAATTGTTAGGTGTTAGTGGACCAAATTTGTTGAATATTGTAAGTAATGGATCCATACACTCTGGTAGTATTGCATCAGATGAAGATAATGATGATGATGATGACGACGACGATGATTTTTTTGATGCCTGTAGTGACCTTGGTAATGAATATGTCAAGGTAATATTAATATATACGTATATTCTTCTTTAAAACAAAAAAAAAGTTCATTATTCATATTCATAAAATCATATAGTCAAATCGAACATCCGTTTCATCAATATTTTTCATTCAGCCGAATTTTAGTAATGAAAAACTATCGATGTCCTTGGCTAATTTCAGGAGTCCAGATTTCATTAACCTCGATATTTTACCTTGGACTTCTGAAACTTCGTTGTTAGTATGGAGAAATATGCTTTGTGCTTTGGGCAATTTAAATCACATTCAGATTATTCCTCATCACGCTGAAGCTATTAAATGTTTAGTGGATATGTTAGATATGTTTGGAATGGTAATTTTTTAAAAATAAAATTTTGTTTTTTCGGTGCTTTTAAACTTTTAAATCAATTTTTGTTTATAATTTATATGTTATAATAGGTTTGCTATAATCAACTCGGAAACGTTCCCTTCCCTTTAATTTATGAATTTGCTCCTTGGCTTCTTGAGGCTTGCGATTTGCCATTGTAAGTCAATTTATATATATTAGGCTAGTTTAAATAATTTTGATAATAATTTATATATTTTAATATTATTAGAGCCTTCGCACCTGGACGGGTATTAGCTTATGGAGGATTATGTAAGATTATGTCATTTAGGCACCATAATGACTTCGATGATTCTTACTATCATCATTTTTATCGTGCTTTGTTGAAAGGGTTATCTGATTATGACAATTCTATAATTTATGCGATAATTAATAATTCAGCAAAGTTATTTTCTCAATGTCTTCCAGGAATTAATATTCTTTATCGTTCTTTTATTGAATCTATAAGAAATTTATTATCAAAACATAATTCAAAGAGAGTTCCTGAAGGGACAAGACAAAACGCCATTATTATACTCTATTCACTTATATGTATAGTAAATCAAGTTCCATCTGCAAAAGTTCCTCTTGTTCAATATATGAAACTTGCTCAAATTAATGAATTTGATGAATCAAGTTTCAGCTTATTGAGTGATGTAAGGTTTTCCGAGGTTGGTTCATTTATATTTTATATATTATGTGACTCAATATAATAATTTATTGTTTGTTATATTTGAAATTTTAGGTAAGATTGGCATTAGGAGAAACATTAATAAATTCACTATCAACAGAAACTTCAATAAAACATAGCGAAACGCATAATATGTTATTATATGGCATTTGCACATTCGCATTTGATGAACTTACTACAACAAGGTTAGTATAATTTTTATTTATGTTTTTAATATATCTATATATTTTGTTGCTTTAACAAATTAATTTTGAATAATCTACCAATATCTTATAGGCCAGGTAAGACTATCATTAAAGAATGTTTCCAAGTGCTATTGGACCAGTTATATTGGAGTCATTTGCCTGTAGTATCAGCAGCTACAGATTGCTTAACTACATTTGCACAAAATTCTTCAATGTGGTTTGAGGATGAAGAAGTAAACTATTTGATTCTTACTATTTATTGTATATAATTTTTTTGAAAAAAAAATTTATCTAACGAAATAACTTGTAGATATACGGAATGATACTCCAAGATGTTTTTGCTAATTTAATTGGAGCTCTGAATGAACATATAACAATACAGAAAGCAACCGTGAGAAACGGGAGAGGTACCATAATTAAACTAAATCAATTAAATTTTTAATTATTTTTGAACGACATTAACTTTATTTTTTTTTTTTTAAAAAAAAAAAAATTTAGGATTCATAATAGCTAAGCTATTTTATTGCCTTATTGAGTGGTTGATGGTAATTCCTTCGACCATTTTCACAGGCACTGATCTAGGTCAAAATGTTTTTGATGTGATAGATTTGGCATTTGAAAATCGTGGGGTAAGAATCTATTTTGGTTTTTAGTTTAGCAAACCTTTGCTTTCTTAAATTTTACGTCAATCTCGCAACATATATTTTGATACGTCACGTCATCTATAAATTTATTTATATATCACTATTGACCTTCTGTCATCTTATCAGGTAGAATCATTAAATTATTACAAAAAAGTTTATCCTGCTCCGCTTAGGAATCAAGGAAAGGAAACTTCCTTTAGATTTAAAAAATCAACGCGTAAAGTTTCGTTAGGAATGAATCATGTTGTTGGTGTTGAAAATAATGTTGAAGATGAGAATTTTGTCAAGGTAATTTTTTAGCGTTTATTTTTGCTCTGTATATTGACACGTTATATCATTCAAAATTAATGCTTTCTTTAATTTACAGGAAGTTGCAGAATGTATATTATTACATTTGACACATCATTTTAACAATTTTGCTCCTATTTATGGTCCCGCAATGATAAATAGGTTTGTAAATATAGGAATGTTTCAGAAAATGAGTATTTTCTAATCTATACCCAAATATCTTGTTTCTTCATGTAGTACTTTAACCGGTCCATTAAGAACTGACACTAAAGAAGAAGATTGCGCCGAACATTATCAATATTTTTCTTTTAATGATAAGACAATAATCACAATAATAGAGATACCAGACAATGACAGCTCAAGTAAATGAAGTTTTTTTTCAAATTATTTATATAATTTGTTAGAAAATCTAACTTATAAAATTTCATTTCTGAAATTTGTTTAGTATCGCGTTTGATAATTCGGGATATTACTGGTCGTTATGCTTGGGATACTAAACTTTTCTATTTAGATGATCCTTATTCAAACCAAAATAGTATTCCAAAGCATTGTGAAATTACAAATTGTATGGAACTGAGACCTGATATTAAAATTGAACCATCATCGAGAAACAAGTCACCGTAAGTTTTCTTTCGCATTCATTATTTTTTCCCTATATTTATTTTATTCTAAATTCTTTTATTTATTGATCATAGAGATTCAAATGCATCTCCCAGGAGTAGATTACGTAATCGGACAAGTAATTTCTTTAAGGATAAAAATAGATTACCTGTTTGGACTGAAAACAGTAATAATGGACATATTAATATGTTGGATTATTTGCTGCAATAGTAATTATTCTATAATACCTATTATTATTTTTTATTATTGGATGAAATTAGTGTGAATTTGTTTAATTTAACTTTTAGCGTAAGTGAACATACACCACTATCGAAAGGAACATCAGATTATGGCTTCCAAACTGGATTATCGCAGCTTGAGAAAGAATTGGATAGACATATTCAAGAAGAAATTCATTATCTCAATTCTACCGGAGGTCAAGCGTAAGATGTTGCATTTAAAACATTCAATATTTATAAATCATTAATCTGATAGATTCGCTCAATTTTCTTTCCTTTTTTTTGCTTAGATCATCTTGGTACGAAAATAACATGTCATTACGAAATAGTATAAGTCAAGTTATAGATAATAAAAGTAATGGAACTAAAGTATCTAAACGACTTACAAGGAACCTACTTTATTCAAGATCTACATCACATTTATCTCTTGGAGCAGATTTTTCATTATCAAAATCATTCTTACCCGTTATACCACCAGAAGCAGAAAAACCTCAAGAACCTTATCAACAATGTCGATTATTTCAAAGTCATTTTGGATGGTTAAATTCTGATACATTTAAAGAAGGTTCAATATGTGTATTAAATAAAGGACCAGCCTTATATCGAGACATTCGATTACTTGACAAAAAGCATTCACGTGAAAGTATAAAGGTTGGGTTGTTATATGTTGGGACAGGACAAGAAGATGAGCAATCTATTTTACAAAATACGAGTGGAAGCAAAGAATATGAAGAATTTGTTACAAGTCTTGGATGGGAAATTGATTTAGCCAATCATTCCGGATATCTTGGTGGATTGGAAAAAAATTCTACGAATGGAACTACTTCGATTTATTATTGTACTTCAACTTTGGAAATAATATTTCACGATGTAACAAGAATGCCTACAGATCCTACAGATCCAAAGCAACTTCGAAAGGTATTTAAGATTTCATTGTTTGTTTATTACATTAATTTGTTTTCAAGAGACCTCGTTAACGAAATTATTATTATTCACATATTAGAAACGACATATAGGGAATGATCATGTACATATAATATGGAACGAACATTATCGAGATTATCGAAACTCCACAATAGGGGGAGATTTTGGTAACGCTCAAATAATCATATCACCGTTCTCCACAAATACCGGAAATCAAAGTACCAGTTTATATGCGGTAGACATTTATCGTGATAAAATTCCATCATTTGGACCTTTATTAAGTGGAATGGTTATTTCAAAAAATATGTTGGGACCATTGGTGAGAATGACAGCAATACACGCATTTCGATCAAGTATTAATAATAATAATAATAATAATTTACAACCGTTTGCTACACTTTATCAACATCCTTACATGCAACGATCTTTAGATATTAATATGATAATGGGTAAACATAAAGATTCCAAAAGTAATAATTCTTATGAAAATTTTATGAATAAAATTTTTTTTAAAGATGACTTTTCTATATAGATATCTTATTTTTATAATAATTTCTTAATTCATTTAGTAATCTTTTAATATATTAATTACCTTCACTAATAAACAATTAATCATTTATTCGTAATACCTCAAAGATGGTTTAATTTAAAAACAATTCATGCAAAGAATTTTTTTAAATTGTTTTAGGGTCGTTTCATTGTAAATATTTTCTTTCAATAATTACGTTTTTTTTATAATCACTTAGTTTGTATTATTATAATTTCTTTTTTTAATTCTCGAGACTTATGATAGTCTATTTGTAATAATTTCTAATAAAATTATTCCCATAATTAAATTATTTATCAAGAATACTGTGATATAATATTAATTTATTATACACATAAATATATTTGATTAAATTTTAATTTATTAACGCGTACATTTATTTTTTTTATAATTCATCTTTTTTGCGTTTTGTTTCTAAAGTAATAGTAAAATCATATTCAAAACTTTTTCCTTTACCTTTAATAACCTCTTTCAAAAATTTTTTAATGTTTTCTTCGTCAAAAGGTCCAAGATAAGGCCTATATACCTTTCTATTTGGGTTTAAAATCATCAAAACCGGAAATACATCAGCTAATTTAAAATCTTTAAGCAATTTTTTGGAACCACTTTCTAATGAATTAAACCATAAAAATCTTAAATAAATCGAATTTCCTAACTCTTCATGGAGACTTTCTTTAACGTTTTTTAATATTTTAATATTTGATTCATGTTCTTTAATTGATTCTTCAAATTCCGTTTCTAAAGGTAAAAACGTAAAAATACATAATCCCGGTTTTGACAAACATTCATTATCAAGTATAGCTTGTGAATTGGCATCTAATATTTCAGGATTATCTAATAAAAGAAAAAAAGATATTTTTTATAAGTATTGTTATTTTAAATCATTGAACTTTTTAATGTATAAAGTTTTCTTACATGGTTCAAGTTCTACTTTAGGTTCTTTCTTTTTCTCGGATCTTTTCTCATTGGATGTGTTTTTGGGTAAAGCATATTTATTTAAATATTTGCTCAAGTTTTCATAATTGTATTTCTCTATAAAATTTACAAAATAATTATTTTTTTTTTTTTTTTTTTTGAAAAAAAAGTTTTTAAATAAATTTTTTTCTCAATCACCTGTAAATTCCGAGATTTCATTGGTTTTTTTATTAATTGCAAGTAATGTTGGAAATTTTTTTATTCCAAATTCCTCAATAATCGAAGATTCTTGTTGTCTAACTTCTCCCAAAAGTAATCGATTATGAAATTCCACCGATAACGCTTTATATAAATGAGTTGTTTTGTCTTTATTTGTAAATAATATAACTTTTGACATCGTTTCATTCTAATATAAATTAACGTTAATATACATAATTTGAACTTCCTTAAATAATCAAAATGATACATACGTCTTTGGCCAAAAATTCTTCAATCGTGAGTGATTTCTTTGTTGGATTTTTATTGGAAATCGGTTGTACAAAAGATGGTATTTCAGAAAGTGCAAATTTCACCATTTCATTTGCTGTCCTTGGTCCATTATAATCTTCAAGAGAAAAAAAAAATTGTTTATTTTTTCAAGATAAAAAAAAAATTATTTTATTTAGTAATATATCATTATACCTTTAGGCTTTTTTAAGAATGAACCAGGGTTTTTTTTATCTGGAACAGCTTGACTTGGAAACAATTTTATTGTTGGAAAACCTATTAAGATTTTTTTAGTATTATCATTATTACCTTGTCATCGTTTCATTAATAAAAGGAAATGTACGACAATTTTACCTTTGACATCGTAAGCACCACAAATGTTTCGATTTGATTGATCATCACAATCTATGGCTGCTACTTTTACAAGACCTTTAAGATTTTCAGCAACCTTTTTGTACTCTGGTGCAAGACTGTTTAACGAATCAAAGTCGCGTTAATTCTTTTTTTTTTTTTTAAAAAAAAAAAAAAAAGGTTAAAATATATTACTTTTTACAATGTCCACACCAAGGCGCGAAAAATTCCATTAAAACGACTTGCTAGATGATAATTAAAATCAAATATTAATTCGAATAAGAAGAAAATTAAACATGAAAATGTATCATATTTATTTACTTCTGTTAGTAAAACTACTTCACGAAAGTTTTTATCAGTTACCAATGTAACCGGGCCACTTTTATCGTATAATGCCAGGATACATGGTAAACTCATGCATAACGCCAAGGATGCGATAAGTATTCTCAACGAATACAGCATTATTTTTGCTTTTCGAGAATCAAAAAGGAAAAAAGAAATTAGGACGTTAGATAAGAAATTTCTTCGTTTATAACTTTTTTTCATATGTATTCGTGGCATATTTTTATTGGAGGAACAAAGCGTATTTTGCAAATCTTACTTAATAAGGTGGTGATAATAAAAAAATTTATCGGGTTACAATTTCACAAACTCCAGAGGAAACTTTAAAAAATTTTCATTTTAATTTATTTTTCTAACCTTGCTAATTTCCGTAAAGATTTTCAAATTAAAATTTTTTGATATCCAACTATGTAAAATCTGAATGCCAAATTTCATTACTTTGACATTTTCTAAAGAAATGAATAGTTTGAGTACTACATATCACAAACACACGGGTATAAATATTTTGGCAGATGTTTGCATAAAACAATATTAAATTAAATGGTTCTTGGAAATTAGTACTCGATAAATAATTTCTCTTCTTAATATTTTGTCATCCAAAAATAAATATCCATTTTTTTTATAAACAAGGTTTCGAACTTGTTATTACTTTAAGAAACTTTTGAGATAATGGCGAACTTATCAAATTTGGCAAGTATAAATTGTCCTTTATTAAAATAATACTACGGCGCTTGGTTCAAAGAGTCAACATTTCTTAAATTTTTTATTAAATAAATAACAAAAAAAAAATTTGTTAATAAATTCTATATAGTTGGCCAAAATAACAGAGTCCAAATGGACGAAACTTTTTGCTCTTGCATCCATAGCACAATTGCTTGCCGTAATTATATTAGAAAGTCGAGTACTTAGAAGAAATATGGATTTGAAAGAAATAATTATTAAAAAAGAAACAGAACTTAATTGTAATCTTAGGCCATCAGTAGATCGTATGTCGCTTATCATACAAGAAAATATTATTTTCATGATATTCCAATTGTTCCAGCTTTATTTTTGTCTTAATTCGGTAAATTTTTTTTTTTTTTTTTGGTTCAAGTAAAATTTTTAAAAATTCATAATCCTAACTGACAAATTATTTTAGCTAATCAATCAAAATACAATTCAAGTCATTACTCTTACTGTTATAAATTTTCTCTGTGGATTCTATGGCATTGTAAATTTTTTTTCATTTTTTATTTTTACTTTTTAAAAAAAAAACAAAAAAAAAGGTTAAAATAATTTTATTATATTTAGGTTCAAATATTTGAAATAATAAAATGGAAAGGAGATTTAAGTGTGAATTGTGAAACTTTTCCAACTGATGAAATTCAAAGACAATTTGCAAACTTTGATTTACCATTAGTAATAATTTTAGTTGTATTCGCATTAATTATGGCTTGCATAAGTTTCAAATTATATAAACAATTTGGATGGAATATTTATAAAAAAATTGGTGCAGATATCGAAGTTCAAAAAATATATAAAGCTACCCTTATCTTTGTTATGTTATTAAAGCTGGATTTATTCTTTGTGTTCCTCTTGTCGATCGAAGTTTTCTTTCTTTTTAGTGAAAAAATTGAGAATAAAGAAGTGAAAAAAATTGAATTTACTTTTACACTTCCCACAATTGTTTATTATTTTCACATGGTTGTAACGATCATGATTTTTTTCCTGGAAATTCTTGCTTATCGATCCGTAAGTGTTTTTTTTGTCCTTCTTTTTATATATATTTTTATTTAACCCATTATTAACGCGCTTTTGTAATCTTAGTTACGAAAAGAGTGGAGGGAAGGCATGTTCACTTATATCTTATTGTCAACAGTTACTATTGTCGATTTTGTCGTTATTTTACGATCCGCGACAAAAACAGTTAACAATAGCTGGTATTTCTTTATTGTTTTCCGTAAGTAATTAGTAACTTTAGAATATTTGAATGGTTTTTCGCTAGTAATATAATATTCATCACACGAAAATTATTTTTTCTTCTCTTATTATAGTGTCTGTTGCTATTGTGCTATGTTTGGTAAGATAAAGAAATTATTTATTCAAACTTTGCATAAATCGAATTTACATTAACCGCGCATTTTTTTTTTTTTTTAATTAGACAACATGGATATATGCTGTACGCGTATTCAAAAACTTTGGAAAAGGTTTAGAAAAAATTTGTAAGTTTAATTATATTCATATTTTTATTTATTTCAGAAACTTTCGCTAATAATACGTTCTATAATAGTTAATAAAAGAGAAGAGGATCATGATGTTCCTCAGGATCCTGAAGTCGGTGGCAGCACTCAAGGCGAAAAAAGATTTATAATCGAGGATGATTAAAAAAATAAAGATTTTTTACAATGATTATATAAGTTCTATAAATAAATATATATATATACACAGTATATACAGTAAATCATTTTTTTTTTTTTTTAAGAATAGATGATTTTAGATAATCTTTTCTCTCCTCAACAAAGTATTTCTAATTTTTATGATTTCATTTCATTTTCAATTTTGTTTTTTTCTTTTTTAAAAAAAAAAAAAAAAAAAAAAAAAAATAGAAATTTACAACTATCTTAATAAATATTAATTTAAATATAAAAAGTTTTTCGCACGAATTACGTGAGATTAGTAAGTATGTCCAAAGATAAAAGTTATGGACGTAATTGCAACAAAATGAACATGCAATGAGTTTATTATTTCCAAAGATTTTTAATTACTCGGTCGAGTAAAAATAACCAAAAGTTATTTTCCCTCATTGTCTGGAATTGGATATCTGAAAAAAACAAAAACTCGTAAATTGCCATTCAAAATATTAAAAGCAAATGAATACCCTTAACATTGTGCAGAAATTCGTGTTACTATATAATATAAATTTTGCCACTACTATATGTTAAACTGTATATATCGCTAATGGATCATCTATTGATTTAATGAAATCATCAGTACCTGATACCTGAATGACATATTTGATCTTTTTTTCGTTTTTTTAATTTTTTTTTTTTAATTTTTTTACAAAAAGTTGAAGTATTTTATTTCAACTTTTAGAAACACGATATCTAAACAAGCAACATTATTAAGGCTTTTTACTATAATAACGCGGTAGAAAACTGGACTTGCGCACGCTTTATGGAACATTATCGTTTAAACTCGATAGAAAAAAAGCTCTGGACCGTATAAATAAAGATCTTAAAGAGATGGAAGAATCTGATTCATTTGACATAAGGAAAAAAAGAAAAGCTCGAGAAATTCTTGACAACCGGAAAGTATGCATTAATGAGACAATCCAACAGTATTAAACTGCTTATTCTGTGCTTGAATAAGTTAAGAACTTAGTCCAACAGTAATGAACTGCTCGTTCGACGCTTGGCGCAAGTTGGGACTGCTCGTCTCCAGTGATGAACTGCTCGTTCGCCGCCTAGTGCAAGCTGGGACTGCTCGTCTGAAGGATAGTTCCTAGTTTGATGCTATATTGTTATTGTTATTTTCATTGCTACTGGAAATACTTCTTATAAGTATTAATTATGAACTTTATTTTTTCAAGAATTGGACTGACACACAAAAGAATATGAAGCGTTCCCAGTGATGTGAAAATCGGACGTCTACAAGTGAGTATCTAGTGTGAAAATTTTACAAGGCAAAAAGGATTACAAATAGTGTTTTGTCAGGTTAAGAAGATGAAAAATTTTGCAACTGCATCCGGAGGTGCAACCCATATTGTTGAAAGTAGTAATATAGCGTTTAGAAGACATCAAGAAATAACAAGTACTGAAGGGACTTTATCTTAGGAAGGAGAACCTTCTTCGGCTGGGATGAGACTTAGGAAAAAAAAAATCGATTATAAAACATTTTCCTCTGATTTAGAGTATTAAGAGAAACAAGAGAAATTTAAGAAGGTAACTTATATCAGTATATTTTGATTACTTAAAAATTATTCTTGAAAGTTATCTTTTTATTTTTAGATTGTAAAGATCAAAATGAATAAAAAAAATAAAAATAAAAGCTCTAGCTCTCCAACCAAAAATTCCAACAGTAGTAGTATTTAACCAAGTAGTCCACAACAAATACTGGATTTGATGACAGATAGTAATGAAGTCGAATAAATATAAATATCAGAAGAGAAATTTAATAAGTTTATAAAGGTAAGTATTATCTGGAAAGGTTATCGAAATGAGTTTAGAATGAGATGTAGTTATAAACAGTAAATACAGGTTGTTTTTAAGCCATTAATATGTCAAAAGTCTTTATTATTCTTTTATAATTGATCCATATAATGGAAGTTTTATCGAAAAAAATGTTTCTATTCCATCTGAAATCAAGAAAATTTATATGTTGAAGCCGTGATCCTTAACTGCACCTTATTTAGTCATGTAATCAAAAATGATTAACAAAGTTGACAAAGTGGATAAAGTAGACTAATATGATAAAGTGATCATCATTGATAGAACAATTTCATATTTGTCATCAATAGGATCAATATATTTCTCCTATTCTATTTACTTATCATATAAGCAAATAATCAACCACAAAAATTGAACCTTTCCATTTCGTTTATAGATGAAATGCAATGTTACCTATTGATAATTCTGATAATTCTAATAACCTTTATACCAACCAAAATTTTACCTTACAAGAAAGAATTGATCATCTGATTAACAAATTACTCCTAATATGATTAGATATAAAAATATGAATATAACTTACATAAGAATAATAAAAGAAGTATTATGACAAAAACATAAGGATTTCTGTTTCACATAAAATTAGAGATAAGGTTTTATACTTTGAAGATGCAAAAGATAAAACCCATTCTGAAAAATTAGATCAAAAATAAAAAGGATCGTATTATATCTATCAAGTCTTATTAAATAGTTCTTATAAAATAAGAGAACTAGATGGTCATATACAGTGCATGACGAAAGTTTCTGAAATTAAAATTTGATATAAAAAATCATGATTTTCTCCTGCAATATGTAATTTATTAAATAACATTTTCACATGACATCATTGCATTAGCCATTTTTAGATATTATATAATGGAAAGATATTGGGTTTTTCAACAGAACAATGATCCTAAAAACACAGCCAAGAAAACTAAAAAACTTCTTTCTAAATGATGTCTGAGGTTGTTAGACTAACGATTGAATAGCTCAGATTTAAATCTGAATGAGAATTTGTAGTCAATTTTGGAAGGGATGTTGAAAAAAGAGATCAACAATCTTGTAATTAATAAAAAATCAAATTACTATAGATGTTTTTATAAAAAGTATGAGAGGAAATCAAGCCCAAAATCCTTCTTAATTTGGTTCGTAACATGCTAAAACAATTAGAACAAATAATTAAGAGGATGGCAATAAGCTAAGCTATTGACTTAGTTTAATATTTTTTTTGTTATATAATAAAATATATAATTTTAAATTTTTGAGTAGTTTTTGAAGTACAATAAATAAAAATGTAAATCTGAATACTTTTGTCACGCACTGTACTTCATACTTCAGTAAATAGAAATCTTTTGAAAATATATAAAGACCCTCTTTTTTAAGATTAGATTTTTATTTTTATCTTTATTTTTATTTTATTTTATTAATTATTATAATTCTATAAAATGAAACAAATTTTTATTGAAAATTTGAATGAAACTTTACCTTTGAAAGTAATTTTTTCTTTTCCTTCATATTTAACTGGAATAGACTTATAGAAGTAATTTTAGACAACTTATCAAATGTTATTAAGAGCTATTCAAATAAAAGACTAAACTCTTATTTTAGTCAATACTTATTATTAGAAAAACTTTTGAAAAATAGAAATTTCTTTACTGACATAGTGAAATCAATTAAGAGGATTAGTCATTAAATATTATAGTTTTGTTTTCATTCGTGTAAATTATCTTTATGAAATGCTAAGTATAAACTAAATTTAATGATCAAAACATATCATTAAGGAAAATTTATACACTCTTAAGTCAATCTTACTAGTTTTAGTAAATGAAGCTATAGATATTTAGACAAAAACTTAAAATTTAAAAAAAAAGGAATGAAGCTATAATTCTTAATTACGCTTTATTTGATCATATAATCAAAAATGATTAATAAAGTTGATAAAGTGGATAAAGTAGACTAATATGATAAAGTGATCATTATTAAAGCTTCAAATAGTTTAGATTAATCTGAAAATTTTCAGTTTAGATCAACTTTGGTTCAGTTCAAATTGCAAAAAATTTAATCCAAAAATTTTCATTTTAGTTCAGATTTTTTTTAGATTATAAATCTAATCTGAATCAAAAAAATTTGAACTAAACTAAAAATTTTGAAAATTTTAGATGGTTTATTCTAAACGAATGATTAGAAAATCATTCTTTTGAAATGATAATTTCAATTATTCTAAATAAACAATTTTCTTATTATTCATTTAGAATGATAATTTCAATCATTCCAAATGAACAATTTTTTTATTGTTTATTTGAAATGATAATTTTAATCATTTCAAATGAGCGATTTTTTTATCATCCATTTAGAATGATAATTTTAATCATTTCAAATGAATGATTTTCTTATCATCTGTTTAAAATAATAATTTTAATTGTTCTAAATGAATAATTTTCTTATCATCCATTTAGAATGATTAAATTATTATTTTAAAAGAATGATAAAAATTATTATTAAATAATAAAAAATTGTATTGCGAAAAGTTGCAGAATGTGAAATTGTTAAATGAATATTTTGACTATTTTCTTCAAGTAGAATATTTATACTAATTATTTTTTCTTTGACTTTACAATTAATCTTAACTAGCTTTATCACTTACTTGAACTTATCAAATTTTGTTATATAATTTTATTACTTAGTTTTAATAACTCTGTCACTTAGCTTTGTAAGTCAATTTTACAATATAGCTTTGCTAGCTTTACTACTTAACTTTTATTATTTGATCCTATCAAATTTTCCATATAAATTTATTACTTAATTCTGATACCTTAGCTACTTAACTTTATGAATTAATGTTATAACATAATTTTGTTTGCTTAGCCACTTAGCTTTTTGCTAATTGACCCTATCAAATTTTGCCATATAATTGGTTAATTAACTTTAATAACTTTGCTAATTAGCTTGTATTTATTAAAAATATCATTTATCTTTGCTTTCACTTAGTCTTTTACTATTTAACTTTGTTACACTTAGTCATTTAGCTTATAATTTAATTAATTATTTGGCTTTATTAGTTTTTACCACTTGCTTTGTTATTTTATTAACTTATCATAACATTAAAATATCATAGAAAATTATCTGACATTTTAATTTATCTTTTAATTTTTTTATAATTTTATTTAATAAAAATATTTTAATAAAATGGAAAATAAATCATATTCTAATAATAGTGATAAATTTTTAAATAAAGAACTCATTTAAGATATGAAGAATCCTAACCAAATATCTAAAATGAGATATTTAATTATGAGAATAAAAAAAAAATAGAGATCTATAATTTATAGTAATTATACTCTAAATAAAGAAAGTAACAAATATCATTATAATCATTATAGGTAAAATTTAAATTTTTAGTAATAAAAATAATTAAAATATTAAAAAAATTAATTAAATTTTTTTTTAAATGTAATTTATAAAATTTCTAAAGATGGATCAATTTCAATATTAAAAATTCATCTTAAAAAGAAATACAGTCAACTCTTGATATAGCGAACTCTTGATATAACGAATTTTTTGAACAAATATAATAAAAATACTCTTGT